TTGACCCGGCGTCTGACATAGTGCACTGAAATATTACCCACTAGCAAGATTTATCTCGGTTTTTTCTACTCTCTCTCTTTCTCTCTCTCCCTTTCCCTCCCTTACCCAGCGGGACAAGCTTAATTTGTCGGCAAAATAAGAGTGGTGCACGGGCGCTTCTTTCCAGCCGGACATTTTACAGCCTTTCCTTTATGCTAATTACGATTTGCCAGTGTCACCTCCTTCCACACCGCTGTCCCCCTCTCCCCTGGGTGAGCAGGTGGGGCTGGAGAAGAGGAAGGGTAGGGGGAGAGGTAAACTTAGCTTGTGGCGGCAAGCTCATTACTCGGCGGCCCATAAGCTGCAGGGACTGGACGCAGGCGTGCTAGAAAAGGGCATAGAGAGCACAAAAAGATAATTCTTGAACTGTGTTTTCAGGGTGCGACCGCCGACACACACCTACTTTTTTGCACAATTTTTCCCCTACCTGATAAAGAGGTATTTTCTTGCCAGGTTTTCAGTTTAGCCGTACATTATTCTAAAGTCTAACCCCCTCCGAGCTGATGATAATCATCTCTTTTAAACGGTCGACAGAGGCTGCCTTTTCCTTAGCTTACTCGCGCGCAGCAGCGGTAAAGTCGGATGAGTCAGTTTGTTAATCCCCACAATTCTCCCAAACGTAGAAGCGGAGCAACCTGAGGAGGTAGAGAGGCGCACTCCTTTATCTCTCTCTCTCTCTGCTCCTGGCCGTCACTCTCCTGCTAGGCTAGGCCATGTTGATTACGTGTAGCCTTCATCGCCCCGCCGCGCCAGCTGGCACGACAAGCAGCCCGAGTCTCAGCCAGATGAAGAAGAAGAGAGCGGCTCGCAAGGCTCCACAGCAGCGCCAGTCAGACGAAACTTATATCACGGCGCCAAATGTGGCGATAATGCGGCAATCGGAATCTTGACGCCGTAAAATTAAGAAATAATATATATGATAATTGGAAAGATTTTTTTTTACGAATCATTTGAAAACAAACATTTGGAGTTGGTAAATGCGAGGGCTGAGTATATAACCACACGTGTGTTTGCCCTGATGAGAAAATAAATATGTTTCGTCATGGAAGAGTCGTCTGATGATAGATACATATACACACACACACAGACACACACACTCCATACGGAGAGAGGGGAGTGAAAACGGAAAGGGAGCGAGGGAGAGAGGAGTGTGTGAAAGAGAGGGAGAGCGAGGCCCGTGCGTCACGGAGAAGGCCGAGCCACATGCTCAAAGGGCTTCCGCGCGCTCTTTGTGGGTACGCCTCCACCCTGCCCCACCGCGCCGCGCAAACGCCTCGTGTCACTTGTTGGACCAGCGGGGCGAGGCAAGAGCAAGGCGACGGGGGGATCGTCAGTCGGAACGCAACGTTATCACATTCGCTTCCTCCAAAGCTAATTGGAGAGGCTCCAGAGAGTGTTGCGCACGCCCGGGTCGGTCCCGTCCCCCCTGAGAGACCCCTCTCCTCGCCGCCGCACCAAGCTCAAGCTACCCGCGGGGGATGGGGCGGCCGGCAGGGGCGGGGGGGTCTCACGTGGGCGACAGAGCTAAACCAGACGGGGCCCGACGGCGCCAGTGCACAGCGCGTCCCTCTTCACTTCCCACGGCCCCACGGGGACAGGGGCAGGGGCCGCGGGATTGAAACTTCGTCAGGACTGCTCCCCGGCTTTGTCGAGGACGGCGCCCGAAGGCGCCTGGAGGCGTCGCCGGGGACGTAGTTGTCCGTCCAGCTCCATGAGCGCCGCTGTTGTTGGGCTACGCGCACCCTTTCCACACTGTTTAAAAAACCTCTGTGTGTTTTGGGATATAGCAAATTTGTGAACTATTTGAAAAGGTACTTTACCATTGGGGTTAATTATTCTTACGGCCAGAGAGAACTATAGCTTTACAGTAGAATGAGAATGGCTTCAAACATGCTCTATCGCCTTCGTAGAACCACGCCAGTCATTCCATATCGCAGAACTGGAAACTACTGATGGCATGCTATGTACGCGCAAAGGATGGATCAGCTCGAAGCCGAACGAACACACACATGCACACACACACACTGCTAAAAGAGGTATTTCATGACTGGGCACAAACTAACTCTTCCCGATAAACAGCACAAACACGTAATGTCTCCAAGAACAACAATAAATACGCGTTAACATACA